TCCCAACCCTCTCCCCATCTCCTCTCCCCCAACCTCGTGCCCCTCTAATCCAGTGCCCCCCACCCTCTGCCCCAGGACCTCAAGGGCCAGTACTGGACGGACGATGACTCCGACGGGGACAATGAGTCCGAGGAGTTCCTCTATGGCGTCCAGGTGTGTTCTGCTCCCACAGGGGAGCTGGGGGCTTGGGGACCCCCAGCCTGAGCGTGATGCCGAGTCTGGGGTTGTGGGGGCTCCGTGTCTGATGGTGCTATGGGGGCTGTGCCACAGGGTACCTGCGCCGCCGACCTGTACCGGCACCCGCAGCTGGACGCCGACATCGAGGCGGTGAAGGAGATCTACAGCGAGAATGCCGTGGCTGTCAGGTGGGTGCTGCCCGTGAGCCTCACCTGGCTGTGCCTTCCCCACACACTCAGCTGGGCCATCCCTGGGCATCCAGCTGTGCTGTCCCCAGCACACTCAGCTGTGGCATCACTGGGTCGCCTGCCTGTGGCATCACTGGGCCTCCAGTTGTGCCGTCCCCGGGCATCCAGATGGGCCACCCCTGGGTACCCAACTGTGCCATGCCAAGACACCTGGCTGTGCCATCCCTGGGCACCAAGCTGTGCCATCTCCAGGACACCTGGCTGTGCCATTCCTGGGCACCCAGTTCTGCCATGCTGTCACCTGACTGTGCCATTCCTGGGCACCCAACTGTGCTGCACCCAGCTGTGCCATCCCTGGGTACCCAGCTGTGCCATGCCCAGGCACCTGGATGTGTCATCCCTTGGCACCTGGCCATGGCATCCTTAGAGCACCAGGCTCTGGTATTCCCAGAACACCTGGTCATGACATTTCCAGGTCACCTGGCTGTGCCATCTCTCAGACATACCCTCACCAGGACACCCAGCTATGGCATCCACTAAGCACCCATCTGTGCCATCCCTGGGGCACTTGCCCATGGCATCACCAGAGACCTGGCAGTGCCCTGAGGCACCTGGCTGTGGCACCCCCAAGCATCCACCAGTGCTGTGCCATCTCCAGAGCAACCCACCTGTGCCATCCCCAGCACTCTTGGCCATGCCATCCCCCTGCATGTGGCCATGTTGAGCACCCGGTTGTGACACTCCTGAACACTCGGCTGTGCCATCTCTGGGACACGCAGCTGTGCCATCTGTGGGACACCCTGCTATGGCATTAATGAGGCACCTGGCTGTGACATCTCCAGGCATCAAGCTATACCATCCTTGGGGCTCCTGGCTGTACCATTGCCACGGCACCCAAGCATGGCACCCCTGAACACCCAGCTGTGCCATCCCCAGGCACACATCTGCAATCTGGACACTCCCCCTGTGCCATCCTGGTGTCAGGGGACACACACTCAATACACGGCGACCCACACGTGCCTGTCACTGTCCCCTGAGCCTGCCCACCCTGGCATGGTGTGCCCCAGACCAGCGTTCTGGCTCTGTGCCGGGTCCCCCCGTGCCACAGCACCGCGTATCTTTGCAGGGAGTACGGGACCATTGATGACGTGGACATCGACCTGCACGTGAACATCAGCTTCCTCGATGTGAGTGCCAACGTTGGCACGGGGAGGGAGGGTGGGCACACACACCCAGGGGGTCCCCAAATTCCCTCCCTGGCTGTGTCCCCACGGCTGTGCTGAACCCTGGCTCTCCCTCGACAGGAGGAGGTGGCGACAGCGTGGAAGGTGCTGCGGACGGAGCCCATCGTCCTCCGCCTGCGCTTCTCCCTCTCCCAGTACCTCGATGGCCCCGGTGAGTGGGGACGGGCAGGGCAAGGTGTCCCCTGTGCCCTGAGGGCAGGCACAGTGGTGGCACCAATGGCTCGTCCTCATCTCTCCCCACAGAACCGTCCATCGAGGTGTTCCAGCCGTCCAACAAGGAGGGCTTCGGGCTGGGTCTGCAGCTGAAGAAGTAAGAGCTGAAACACACTGGGCACCTGAGGGTGGGGGTGGGGAGGGGGCCCACAGAGTCCCTGTTTTGCCCCCAAACCGACCAGGTGGCACAAGTCCCTGTGCCACCACCTTTTATCTACCACACAACCCCGTGCTGGGCTCACCATTGGCTGTGGGTGGGGAAGAGAAGGAGCTAGGGGGTAGCTGGGACCACCCAAGCACCAGGCTTGGGGGACACCAGTGCACCCATGCTCTGGGCACCCATGCCACCTCTCTGCCAGGATCCTGGGCATGTTCACATCCCAGCAATGGAAACACCTCAGCAATGATTTCCTGAAGACCCAGCAGGAGAAGCGGCACAGTTGGTTCAAGACAAGCGGCACCATCAAGAAGTTCCGTGCTGGCCTCAGCATCTTCTCCCCCATCCCCAAGTAAGACCCTGTCACTGTCCCCAAGGTACCAGCCCTCTGTGCCCTCAGCCTGGGTGGAGCCTGGCACTGTGCCTCAGTTTCCCCACTTGGACTCTGCTGCTCCCCTCCAGAGCCCGGGGAGGTGGAGTTTGCTCCAGCTGGTGGATGAATTTGGCACTGGGTGATGCAGGAGCAGGGGACAGTGACAAACTGGGGTGCTCAGGGGGTTCTGTGCCCGCAGGTCTCCCAGCTTCCCCGTTATCCAAGATTCGGTGCTGAAGGGCAAACTGGGCATCCCCGAGGCTCGCGTGAACCGCCTGATGAACCGCTCCGTGTCCTGCATGGTGAAGAACCCCAAGGTGGAAGTTTTCGGCTACCCCCCCGCCAGCACCCAGGCAGGTGTTGCCCCCTTCAACATGCTGGTGGGTGCCACCCCGCCTTGGGGTTTGCTTTCCTCTCCTTTTCCTTCCCAGGGGCTCCTCCGGGCTCAGATCACGTGTTGTGGGGTTCTGGGACCCCCCTGCAGTGGGGGGAGCCCCTGTAGGGTTTCTTGTCCCCAGCACCCTTGATGCTCTTGGGGAGTTGGGGCCCAGCCAGGGGGTCCAGTGGTGTTTTACTCCCTCTTGGTGCCTCATCCCTGTGGGTGGGGTTGGCACATCAGGGGTCCTGCTGTGCCAGGGGGCGTTGGCGTGTCAGGGGTCCTGCCGTGCTAGGCGGGGGTTTGGCATGTCAGGGCTCCTGCTGTGATGGGGAAGGCTGACATGTTGGGGGTCCTGCTGTGCTGGAGGTTGTTGGCACGTCAGAGGTGCTGATGTGCTGAGGGGTGTTGGCATGTTGGGGGTGCTGCTGTGCTGATGGGGGTTGGCACGTTGAGGGTCCACTGTGCTAGGGAAGGTTGGCATATCGAGGGTGCTGCTGTGCTGGAGGATGTTGGCATGTTGGGGGTCCTGCTGTGCTGGTGGGGTTGGGGGCTACCGGTGCCATGCAGAGCTGGGGGTGCCTGTGGGAAAGGGGATAATGCAGCTGGCTCTGCTCTGGCTCCGTCGCAGGTCGGTGGCCACTGCAAGAACATCCCTACGCTGGAGTACGGCTTCCTCGTCCAGGTGAGAGTCCTGCATCCCACTCATCCTCATCCTGCTGCCTGGAGCATCCTCCCCACTGCCCTATGTCCCACTTTTCCGCATCCCACTGCCTCATGCCCTGCTTATCCTCATCCCGCTGCCCAGAGCGTCCTCCCCACTGCCCCATATCCCACTCATCCCCATCCCACTGCCTGGAGCATCCTCCCAGCTCTGTGGCAGGGACTGACTCCCCCTGTCCTGCCCTCAGATCATGAAGTACGCGGAGCAGCGGATCCCGACGCTCAACGAGTACTGTGTGGTGTGTGATGAGCAGCACGTCTTCCAGAACGGCTCCATGCTCAAGGTGGGGTGACAGGGGCTGGTGGAGCATGGGCCGTGCCCCTGTGTCCTTGTCCCAGCCCCTCCCCACACTCCTGTCCCTTCGCAGCCGGCCGTGTGCACGCGGGAGCTCTGCGTCTTCTCCTTCTACACCCTGGGCGTCATGTCGGGCGCGGCCGAGGAGGTGGCCACGGGTGCTGAGGTAGGGGCTGCGTGCTGTGGGGACCCCAGCATCTCCTCGGGGGCTGTCCCTTCACTCCCTACTCTGCCCCAAGGTGGTGGACCTGTTGGTGGCCATGTGCCGCGCTGCCCTCGAGTCCCCTCGCAAGAGCATCATCTTCGAGCCTTATCCCTCTGTAGTGGACCCCAATGACCCCAAAACTCTTGCCTTCAACCCCAAGGTAAGCATTGGGGGCGACACTCCTCCACACTGGGGGGTACTGGGGCCACGGGGAGCCCTGAGGACCCCTCTCATGGGGAGTCCTGAGGACCCCTCTGATGGTTGCCTCTCTCCTGCCCCACATGTAGAAGAAGAACTACGAGCGACTGCAGAAGGCCCTGGACAGTGTGATGTCCATCCGGGAGATGACCCAGGTGCGTGGTGTGGCCCCACACCCCCACGTCCCCCAGTGTGAGATCCAATCCTGGAGTGGCACTTCGGTGCTGATCTCCATCTGCCCACAGTTGGGTGGGTGCTGGGGGACCCACCTGTACTCCCTCTTGTCTTTGCCAGGGATCCTACCTGGAGATCAAGAAGCAGATGGACAAGCTGGACCCCCTGGCCCATCCTCTCCTGCAGTGGTAAGGCCAAGGGTGCTGTGGCCCCATCCCACTGTCCCACATCCCTCCCTGCTGTCCCACATACCCCCTAACAGGGGATAGGGTGGGAGGCAGGTGGGCACAACTTGGCACAACTCTCTCAGCTCCTTTCTGCTGGGGGGTCACGACCATCCAATGGCAGTGGGGTGGGTTCTGGCTCCCAGCTTGGCCCTGCTCCCGTGGGAGCATGGGACCACCCTATCTGACCTTCCTCCTCCTCCTTTTCCTCCTCCTCTTCCCAAGGATAATCTCCAGCAACAGATCCCACATCGTCAAGCTGCCTCTCAGCAGGGTAAGGGGCCTGGCCAGGCTCTGGGGAATGGAGGGTGTGGAATGTGGAATGTGGGGATGGGATGGGAGGTGGGTTGGAGGGTACAGGAGGTGAGATGCAGGATATAGGCTGTGGGCTGCAGGATGCAGCATGAGGTGTGTGAGGGTATGGGGTGGGCCATAGAAAGGTCTGAGCCATAGGATGCATCCCTTGGGATGGGGTCTGAGCCCAGGAGGTGTGGGAGGCTGGATGTAGTATATGGGGTGGAGGATGGGCTGTGTGGTGGGGGATGCCACAGACCCTCCTGGCAATGCCGGAGCAGCCAAAGCCGGGCTGGGCCAGACATGAGGCCGGGTGGCCGTGCATGATCTGTCTGTCTGTCTGTCTGTCTGTCTGTCCTCTCCCTGCCGGCACCGCCGCTGCTCTTCCCGTTCCCCTGGTAGCAGCTGAAGTTCATGCACACCTCGCACCAGTTCCTCCTGCTCAGCAGCCCCCCGGCCAAGGAGGCGCGGTTCCGCACGGCCAAGAAACTCTACGGCAGCACCTTTGCTTTCCAGTGAGTTGCCGAGGTGGGGGGACAGCGGGACCGCCCCAGTGGGCGCTGTGGGGCTGACATGGGGCTGACTCTTTCCAGTGGCTCTCACATTGAGAACTGGCATTCCATCCTCCGCAACGGGCTGGTCAACGCTTCCTACACCAAACTGCAGGTACCCCTCCGCTCCACAGACCGATGCACCCTGGGGCGGCAGGCAGGGAGGGAGGGGAGCAGAGAGGCAGGGCATGGGGCAGGCAGGTAAGGAGGGGGACAGGCAGGCAAAGAAGGGGACAGGCAGCGGGGGGTGCCAGGCTGCCTCTGCTGTCACCGTACCCGAGCTGTCGGGGTGACCCCACCGCACTCACCCTGGTGTTTTCCTGCAAGCTGCATGGAGCAGCCTATGGCAAGGGCATCTATCTGAGCCCCATCTCCAGTATTTCCTTTGGATACTCAGGTAAGAGGCTGTCTGCTCTGCCTGGTCCTTCCTGTGCTCCCGTCCCCACCCCCTGCACGGCCCGGGGAGGTTTGGCATCACGCTGACCAGAGGATCCGTGCGGGAATCGGCAGCGTCCCGCATCCATATCACCTGCACCAGCCTCTTCCCGACCAGGCTGGGGCACTTCCACACACCAGGGAATAAAAACCCTAATGATTTCTAGGCTCCAGAAACTGCTGTGCCTGCTTTTGGGGGGTTCCCAGGGCTCAGCTGAAGGGTGGGAGTGCTCAGCCATCCCTGTCTGTGGCATGTGTCCCCTCATCACCCCTGCAGTGCTCCCTGCCAGGAGTGACGGCCACCACCTCCTTCTCTACAGGGATGGGGAAAGGCCAGCACCGGATGCCGTCCAAGGATGAGCTGGTGCAGCGGTACAACAGGATGAACACCATCCCCCAGGTGACAGGCTGGGGGACACCAGGGAGGATGGGGAGGGGGATATGGCACCCACGGGGTGGTAACACTGGCTGCTCTCCCCACAGACCCGCTCCATCCAGTCCCGCTTCCTACAGAGCCGCAACCTGAATTGCATCGCGCTTTGCGAAGGTCTGGGGACATAGGGGGGCAATGGGGCGGGGGGCATGGGCAGCACCCACAGGATCACTGGGAGAGTGGAGGAGGGAGGAAGGGTCCCCACCACCAGCACCAACTGTGCCCAGCAGGGGCCCCCATTCCCCATCCCGCATCCAACAGCCCCTTTCCCCGGCAGTGATCACCTCCAAGGACCTGCAGAAACACGGCAACATCTGGGTGTGCCCTGTCTCAGACCACGTCTGCACCCGCTTCTTCTTTGTGTGAGTCCCAGCTGCGCCACCTCGCTGGCACCCGCGGGACCCCCCACAGGACACTGCCTGACCCCTCTCCTCCCCTTCCAGGTACGAAGACGGCCAAGTGGGAGATGCCAATATCAATACTCAGGACCCCAAAATCCAGAAGGAGATCATGCGTGTGATTGGGACTCAGGTGTACACAAACTGAGCGGTGGCAGTGGTGGGACCCCCGGGACCCCCCGGGCACCAAGCGGAGCCCCCGGGCGAGGCCAAGGAAGGCCGAGCGGGATTTGAACCCCCCGGGCAGGTCAGAGCCGGGGCTGGTGCCAGTGGCTCCACCTGTACATAGGCCTCGGGCACCCCGGGAGCACCAGGCGGGTTTGGCAGTCCCTTGTCCCCTCCCTGTCCCGTCCTCGGTGTCCCCACCCTGTGGCAGCGTGGAGAAGGGGCCGTGGGGCCGCCAGGGCCGGGGGCTGCCCCTCCTGGCGTTGGCAGCGACGGCGTTTTTATCGATGAGAAACAGAAGCAAAAAAATAACAAAGAACCAAAACAAACCCAAAAACACAGAAAAAAAAAAGGGAAAAGGAATCTGTGTTGGTGGATTTAACTGGGGTTAAGGTCTGGGGGATGGGGAGGGCAGGGGATGGTGGGGAAGGGATTGGGATTGCAGGGAAGGGCTAGGGGCGCAGGGAAGGAATGGGATTGTAGGGAAGAGAGGCATGGGGAAAGGATGGCATTGTGGGGAAGGAATGGGGACACAGGAAAGGGATGGAATTGTGATGAAGGGATGGGATCACGGGAAAGGGAGGGGGGCACTGGGAAGGGATGGGATGGTGGGGAAAGGAGAGGTTTAACAGGGAAGAGATGGTGACACAGGGTAGGATAGGACCATGGGGAAGGGATGGAGTCATGGGGGAAACTGTCATAGGGAAGTGATGTGGCTTTGGGAAAGGGCTGGGTCTGTGGGAAGGGAATCACATGGCAAAGGGATGGTGCTGAGTGGGGACCACACCATGGAGAAGGGATTGTGCCTCAGGGATAGGACCCCACTGGGGATATGGGACCCTACTGAGGGGACCCTGCAGGGTCTGGGGCTACAGCAAAGACTCAAATGAGAAGGAACCTCCCAGGGATGGTGTTTTATTTCAGCCCAAGCTGATCCCAGTAACTCCACAGAGGCAGTGACAGCACAGCTGCATCCTGCCATGTCCCAGCCTGGACGAAAACCCACTGGAGAAGCCCCGGAGGCTCCTGGGGCTCAGCACGGGGGTGAGGGGCTGGCAGGGGTGGCTGGCACTGAGGTTCCCCACGGCCTGGGGGCTCTCCAGGTCAGTCACAAGTTCAGCCAGGATTTATAAAAGAAATTAAGAATTGACATAAAAATTACCCTGGTTAGGTACAGTCACCAGCTGAGACCTGACAGGCTCATCACACCAGTGGGTGCAGCCTCAATGTCACCTCTGCCATGTCCCTGCCCTCTGTCCCCCCTAGAGGGACCCCAACATCTCTCCATTCCCACTCATCCCACACCGGCTGCTCCATGTCCCCAAGGGCCACCCAAACCTGGGCTGGTGACTGTCCCCCTCGCAACCCACTCTGCCACCCAGCCCTTGGGGCTTTTTTTTTTCAAAAGTTTATGAGGTTTGAGTTATTTTTCCCCTCCTTAAACAAAAAATAAATCCAGTCACTTCCCCAGGATCCCACCAGTCGCTCAGCTGTGCCCTCAGCTGTGAAGGGACATCCCATGAGTCACGGCCACATCCCCCTGCATCTCCAGCATTGCTCAGAAAGATTGGGGGAACCACAAGGGGCAGGTCCTGCCTCAATCCCGTCCGCAGCCACGGCGAATTCCTCCGAAAAATGGTAATTCCTGGGAAAAAGCAAATAAAAAGAGAGACCCACAGTCCTCTCCCAGCTTCACCAAATTCCCAGTGGATGCTGTGGCCCAGCTGGAGTCGAGCTGGTCAGAAAGGGGTCCCCGGTGTCGCCTCTGGGGGGTGGGATGGACGGACGCGGCAGCGATTGCTCCAAAGAACCAACCAAGGTGACGAGTTTGACAAAATAAGTTTATTTCGCTTTGCTTCGTTTCTGCCGAAACCTCACATTTTTTCTTTTTTTTTAAATTTTTTTTTTTAATTTTTTTTTTTGGCTGAAAAAAAAAAATCCCCAACCCAAAAAACCCCCCAAACCAACCCGAAATGCAAAGACCGGCATCACTCCACCCTCGCCCACAGGCGACCGAGGGGCTCCAACTCCCCCTGGGCCACAGGGCTGGGAGAGCCACCGCAGCCCCCCCAAAAATACCCTTTGCATCCCCCCATCCCCAGCCACGAACTGGCCCCCAAAACTGAGCCCTTGAGCCCCACAAATCCGAGCCCTGTAGGAAACACTCACGGCTCTGAACGCCTGAGGGTTTTTACTCAACCTTCTTAATTTTTCTTGGATTTTCTCCTCCTTTCCCAACGTTTTTTTGTGTGTTTTGTTGGTTTTTTTTTTTAAATTAATTTATTTATAGATATATTTAAAAAAAGCAATAGTCCTTTGGTCCCTAAACTCTAAGGAATGATATGACTCTGAAACAAGTAATCCTATGTCCCTGTGCCAGTGACAAGCAGGGGAAGCGCGTGTCCCGCTGCCCTGCTCCATGGGATATATATATATATATACTTATTTATATATATCTTCTATAAGTCCAACATACTTTGATCCTTCTTTTTTTTTCCCCATCGCAGGGAAAAAGGAAAATCTTGCCGTTTCTTTATTTTTCCAAACAAGCATCCTCCAGGTGAAGCGCCTGAGGCTGGTCCCGTCCCACCGACTTTGGTTTAAGAATCCATTTGGAGCCTCTTTTCCTCGTTTCTCCTGGGAAATCGGTAGCAGCAAATGAGTGCTTTAAAAAAAAACAACCCCAAAACCAAAGGTAGATCGTGGCCCCGCTGCCCTGGGGCCGCCGGCCCTTTCCCGGTGAGGGATTGGTGAGTCCCGGTGAGCGGCCGGCGGCGAATCACAGCCCCGGCGTTGCATCGCTCCCCTCCTTCCTTGTCTTCCTCTCGTTCCCGTCAAATAACAAACAAGACCAGTTTGGGAAAAAATTCAAAAAGGAAAAGCTACAACCAAAACACTCTCTTCTTCACCATTTTCTCCTCCTCCTCCTCCTCTTCCTCCTCCTCTTCCTCCTCCGGGATGTGTAGCAAAGAAAGAGAGTTACAGGTTTGGATACTGCACTTGGGGAAGGGGAAAGTCGTCAGACACCATGGGACGCCCGACCTGAAAGAGAGGGAAGGGGCTGTTAGCCTGGTTCCTGGGGGATGGAGGGGGGGAAGGAGGCGAGGGAGGACCCAGATCCATTGGGAACACACGCACAGATCTCCAGGCTGGCACAACTGCCACGGCCCCCCCGGGCACCGCAGGCCAAGTTCCCCCTCACCTCTCTGCTGGGGTCAGTAGGGTCTGTTGGCATCTTTCGGCCGCTTTAGCTGGACTTTTAGCCTCTTCATGCCGATCTGGAAGCCATTCATGGCCTGAATGGCTGCCTGGGCGCTCGTCGGATTGTCAAAACTGACGAAACCTGGGGAGGGGACAGTGGGGTTTGTCACCACAGACATCACTGGCAGCTGCTTCACCTCAACACAGGCCCTGAAATCCCACAGGATGCTCCTGTGTTGGGGGTGATGGGAGAGGGAGTTGTGGGGTGACAGCACAGCCCCGGATTTCAGGGTACTGGGTGACAGGCTGATGGCATGTTCAGGAACACCAAGGTCTGCAGGGACATTGAGGTGACAGGGTCTGTGGGGACACCAGCATAAGAGAGTCCACAGGGACACTGGAGTGGTCTGCAGGGGTTGGATTTGTTGGGTCACTGGGATGATAGGGTCTGTCAAATTGATGGGGATTGTGAGGACACTGGGGTGACAGGATCTGTGGGGACACCAAGGTCTGAGGGTCTGTGGGAACACCGAGGTGATGGGGACTGCAGGGACACTGTGGGGGCTGCAGGATCCGTGGGGAAACCAAGGCCTGCAGGTCTGTGGGGACCCCAGAGTGACGGGGTCTGTTGGGACACTGAGGTGATGGGGCCTCCAAAGACACCACTGAGGTGACAGAGTCTATGGGGACACCAAGGTCTGTGAGAGAGATGAATCCCTGAGCTGGGGATATCAGGGAGACATGGAAATCCCAGCTGGAGACCAGGGAGAGACAAAATGAGATGCTGGAGAGACATGGACTCCCAAGGAGAGATATCATGGAGAGATGGGCCCCACGATGGAGATGCTGAGACCTCTGAGCTGGGGACACTGGAAAGAGCCAGACCCTCAAGATGGGGACACTGGGTGGAGCCAGACCCCTGAGCTGGGAACACCAGGAAGAGCCAAGGAGGGAGAATGGGACCCCCAAGCTGGAGACTGGAGAGAGCTGGGATGTTGAGAAGAGCTGGATCTCTAAGCTGGGAAGCTGAAGAAACCTGAACTCCTGGGCTGGGATGCTGAGGAGAGTTGGACCACTGAGCTGGGATGCTGAGGATAGCTGGAGCCCCGAGCTGAGACACCAGGGAGAGCCACTCCCCGGGACTTACCAAAGCATTTACTCTGGTTGGTGGCACGGTCCACAAAGACTTTGGCAGAGATGACGTTGCCGAAAGGCAAGAACATCTGCGTGAGCTCTGCGTCCCCGAACTCCTGGGGCAGGTGATAAATAAACAGGTTACAGCCCTCGGGACCTGGGTGACACACAAAGGACAGCACACGTGAGCCACGAGGTGGGGTCACCCTGGGGGGACACCGAGGAGCCCCCAGCCCCGTGGAGGGGTGACCCCCACCCCTCACCTTCTCGCTGCTGCTGCGGAATGAGCGGTGCCTGCTGGGGAAAGGCTTGGCTGATGGGAGCATAGGCAGTGGGATATGCTGCTGGAAGACAGAAACACGGAGCTGAGGCCACAGCACACATGGGGATGTGCCCCACTGTCACCTGCAATGGAGGTGCCTCTCCTGCCCCAGGGCTGCTGGCTCTGCCTTTCCCACCCTTCCCAGCACACCAGGGATGCGGGAACAGTTCCCCCAGGAGAGATGTTTGTGACAGAAGCAATACAGCCTCAAGGATGGGGAAAGATGGCACTTTTGATAGAAAAACCCTAAACATTTGGGGCCCAACACTTGATTTTCTCTTGAAAATTTGGATGTTGCTGTCAGTGCTCCTAATGAAACGGCTGCTGGGCTTGACACACTTCCATGAGAGGCTTTGACTCCCTTCTCCACAGCCCACCTCCCTGGCTATCAGATTTGGCCACGAGATGAACATCCAAGGGCTTCTGGTGTCTTGGTGTGGAGCCAGGTCTCCATCACC